TAGTGTATTTAAATTTATTTCTTCTTTTTGTTAATATATTTTCCTTTTTGCTAATAGTCATTAACTTTCAATTTTTAAATTGCATTTAATACTCATAAATTTATTTCTTCCTTTTGTTAATTTTTTATTATTATTATTATTATTATTATTATTATTATTATTATTATTAATAATAATAATAATAATAATAATAATAATAATAATAATAATAATAATAATAATTATTATTATTATTATTATTATTATTATTATTATTATTATTATTATATTATTATTATTATTATTATTATTATCATTAGTTTTTATTATTAGTTATTGCTATTACTTTTATTTTTGTTTTTGTTTTTTTATTATTAGTTATTGCTATTACTTTTATTTTCCTCCAATTCGAAGTTTATCACCAAAACATGAAACCTTCTACAAACTTACAACACAACATGAATTTTCATAAATTCCACTACATTCCAAAATTTTCCTGCACTTCCTATAGCAACAACATCCTGCAGCATCCTATTACAAAAGCTACCTTAACCTCTCCAATAAAGGACCAAAAACCCTGTGCATCCTGCCGCATTTGCCAAACCAAACCAAAACTTGTCAAGACTCTGCTACTTACTGTTACAATCCTGCAAACCACAATATTTCATGTTTCACCAAAACACTCTGTGCAAGCCTTGCAAAATTCACATCACTCTAAAAAAAACCACAATAGAACCTGCAGCAACAGCAACCTGCAAAGAAAAAGACAAATTTCGAAAGAAGAGAGAACAAGGACTTTTTTGAATTTTGCAGAAATTGCGTTAATGGTACTATAAAAAACATAACCTGGAGAAGGACTGGAGGACTTTAAAAAAAAAGAGATCTTTGTCCATTCACGGGGGGACCTCCTTCACCATTCAACCTCCCCCTCCCCCCCTTTACCATTCATTCGTCGTTGTAAAAACCGCCAATCTTCAACACCCTTCTCCTCCACCGTTTTGTTTGCGAACAGCCACCAACAACCTTCTTCAACTTCATCCCTTTCCAACAACACAACCATCTCAAACAATTACAACAGCTTCACCTAACCTTCATAATCACTCAACAATCCTCATAAAAACCTTCTCAGGACCAACTGTGAGAGAGATTTCAGTGAGAAATATTTGAAACCGCGAGTGAAAGAGAAGCAGAATCGAACTGAAACCGTGAGATACAAATCGATATTTGAGAGGAGAAAGATGAGGCAAGATGAAAACCGCGAGTGAATCGACCAAGAGAGACGCGATGAGAAAGAAAACGGTGAGGTTGAAACCAAGAACATGTGAGGATTCTTTCTCTCTGACCTCATTCTTTTTCGTTCAGAAACGAGATCTTTGCCTTTAGTTTAGTTTTGTTTTTTTTAAACTCTCTTTTATGCATAAATGGGCTCAGCCCATTTAAGTTCTTTTATCCACACCCTCCTCTATTCTCTTAACTTCTTAGTAATTAGTTTATGTTAAATATTTGTTTTTTTTAGATTATAATATTTATTAATTAATGTGTATTTGAATTTTTTTTTCTTGTTAGGCATTATTTAAGATTTAATCTTTTTTTTGGGTTAGAATTGTTAATTGTTATTTACATTATTTAGTTTATGTGTTTTCAATTAACTAAAATAAAAACCTAAAAATATTTTATTAAGTAATTTTGTAGATAAATCTTTTTATTTTAATTTGTGTTCAGAATGTACATACTCAAGATTTATTATTGACATTATTTTCTTTAAATTTTTCTTGACCGTTATCTTATTAACTTGTGATTTAGATTCTTTAGGTTGAGTTTAATCTTGATACTTGCATTGATTATGCCATTGCTCATTAAGTTGTGTTTATCACCATTCACGTTATCTCTCTATGCCTAGTTCTATTTTGCGTCTGATCCTATTTTCTCATACTAATTGCACACACAATTCCAAAAGAAATGATCCCATAGTTGACTGCCATGTCATGTTGGATAGCCTTGTCCATCTTTCCCCCGAGACCTTGTGAGAGTCTTGTCTGTTGTAACCTAGTTTAGGTTTGGAGTCGCCGCACTCCATGTAAGTGTCATGGTTATGAACACTTACTTCCCTTTCGAACCTTGATTGTTATCAAGAGTTCCTCACACCTAGTGAGCCGAACTACGGAGGCTCTGATTCCTCATTCCTAGTCAGGATATGTAGGCACAAGATACGATATCTTGTCTAGCCCATTAACCACTAACAAATAAAAGCTAACTCCCATATCTCACGCCACCGCACGATCGAGACTGGTCTACCTTTCTCTTTATCCTAACTTTATGATTGGAGTCTCCGCACTCCATGTAAATGTCATGGTGATGAACACTTACTTTCCCCGTTTGATCTAGCGTTATGATTAGAATCGCCACACTCCATGTAAGTGTCATGGTTATGAACACTTACTCCCCCTCTTGAAACCTTGATTATTATCAAGAGTTCCTCATCCCTAGTTAGGTGAACTACGGTTGCTCTGATTTCATCATAGTCAGGATACGTAGGCATGAGATGCAATGTCTTGGAGAGTATACTTAGTGTATATATCTTAGGGATTTAACTTAGCACATTTTATTTAGCAAGCAAACAATAACATAACACAAATACTAACAAGAAGTTCATGTAGAGTACTACAAATACTTAGGATGCTAACACCTTTCCTAGGTATAACCAACCCCTGAACCTTAGATCTCTAGCTTTATTGTTGCATAGCGCACTTAGGGTTTTCTTTGATCTTTACCCTTTCCTTTGGATAAATCAAAGCTCGGTGGTGAACTTCATGATTTGTGGTTCAAGTTAATTAATAGCTTGATATCTGATTCTCACCGCAACAATAATCCTCCAAATTGGTTTGAGAATTGCCTAATTAGGAAGGTTGAGTCAAGCATTCAGACATCTTTTTGGAACGAATCTTGTATTTGGGATATTTCTCTTAAGATTAGATTCCAGAGGCTCTTTCCAATTTCTCGTGTTCATAAAGGGTCTGTGGGGGAGATAGGTAGGTGGATGGATGATAGTTTTACTTGGGATCTTAGTTGGACGTACCCTTTTTTGTCCACGAGGAACCTTTAGTCACTGACTTCTTCTCGGTTCTCTGAGATGTCTGACTTACTGAGGTGATCATAGGCGGACTTGAAGGAACAATATGAATGACATTTTTTTTGTCACATATGCTTATCATCTCCAATTAAGCTTTGAGCCTTCTATTGTCACTCGGTTACAGAAGGATTTCCTAACCCTTCCCATTATATGGGATAGTTAGGCCCCCTTTAAGGTGAAGCTTTTCTCTTGGCAAGTTTTGCAAGATTGGATCTCGTCTAGAGAGAATCTCTTTAAGAGAAATTTTTTAGTTGATTCGGAGGCAATCTCTTCTATCCTTTGCAGTGATCGGGTTAAGTAAGCTTTCCATTTGTTTGTTATTTGTAGTCTTACTTCTGGTGTTTAGTATTGAACTTTTAGTTGGTTGGGCTTTCAGTTTATTCTTTCTATGGATCCTAATTTTCTTTTGAACTCATTCGTTCTCTAGGTGATGGAATAAAGTTAGAGGGGGATTTCTATGATCTAACATTCAATGGTTTAGACCATTCAGTATGTGCGTAATTATAGGCTTTTCACTGGTGTTTCAACAAATGTAAAAAGGTGATGTATAAGAGTATTTTTTTTTGGCTTGGACTTGGTTTCTTTCAAGTTACCAGTAATATCTTTTCTCTTATCAGATTGGCTTCAAAACCATATCATGTGCTTAAACCAATAGTGGTTCCAGAGAACGTCCTCTCTCCTGAGGTGTGTAATGGTTTGGTTTTTTTTACCTATTGTTCCTTGCATTGTTGATGTTTGAACAATAGTTTTGTGCTCTAGCTTAATTGCTTTTGGGTGGAGTCGTGGTAAAGGTGGACCCAGATGAGTTCTCTTTATTCTAGATGACCTTTGGTTGTTCATTTTTTATTGATTTTCCTTTTTGTCTTTTTTTGATTTTGTTGTTGGATTTTTGTTACCATTTGCCACTTCTTGTCTTATGCCGGTTTTGTTGTTGGATTTTTGTTACCATTTGACACTTCTTATGTATTATGTTGACTTGTTATTTTATTTATTTTTGGATTTCTCCCTTATATATATATATATATATATATATATATATATATATATATATATATATATATATATATATATATATATATATATATATATATATATATATATATATATATATATATATATATATATATATATATATATATATATATATATATATATATATATATATATATATATATATATATATATATATATATATATATATATATATATATGATTCAATTCAAATGACCTAAAAGTGGAAGAATTCAGTTTTGTGCATGCAATATTTTCTAAAGTACACGCAAAAAAATTGAAATTTTAAAGGAGAGATATATACATAAAAAAAAAGAAACTACTCATGCAACCAATGATATCACACAAAATGTCAAGTTATAGACTTAGATGAAGAGACATACATTCACTCTTGCATGATTCATTTTTGAGTATTATAGGGTTGTGATAACTTAATCTTTTTACTTGTATATTATAATTATAATTTGAATTCAGATTTTCTCAAATAAATATTGCTTAACTAGAATTTCATAAACACTTGAATCTAATCAACCGATTAGAGTAAAATTATATCAAAGTTTTTTTTATAAACAAAAAATATTAAACTGCAATCCTCATAAGTGAGTAGTACACTTATTTTTTTGATGTAAGTGAGTAGTACACTTAATTTGGGGAATAAAATGTTCCAGAATTCTAATAACTATAGGAACATTTTACATATAGGGAATAGCACGTTACACGTTCTTTCTATTTAATTTTTTTTTTCTCCCTACTTTATTAATTGAAAATAGCAATTACTAATATGAGATATTAAAGCGGAAAATGCGACTACATATAAATTGAGGGATGAGTAAAGTAAAATTAAGAGGGAAAATTACATTTAACTAAGAACTCGCTAAGATTAGGAGCCACTCATCATCTTCTTAAACTCTTCAAAATTTACATTACCATCGCGATCAGCGTCGACGTTTCCGATCATCTTCCGGCAATCGTTAAGAGAACATTTTTCCCCCAATCGCCGCATCACCGCGTGCAGCTCCTTCGCCGAGATCAGTCCATTTTTGTCCAAATCGTACATCTCAAACGCCTCTCGGAGCTCTGAAGTGTCACCACCGCCGGTGTGTATTTCTCCGAACTCTTTCAGATCAATGTAACCATCGCCGTTCTGGTCAACCTCCGCCATCATTCGATTAACTTCCTCCGACGTCGTCTTAGATCCGAGCGCCAGCATCATCTCCTTGAGCTCCGCGCGCGAGATCTTCCCGTCGCCGTTCTTATCGAATTTGTTGAAGATCTTCCGCACTTCATCGTCCATGGCTTTCGCCGAGAGCGAGAAAGATAACGTTTTCTGTTTAGTATAGTTGAGTTGGTTTTCGTGAAATGTGATTTATAGAAACGTGATTCGGTCACGGAAGCGCGTTAATTAGGTTTTAAAAAGTTGAAGATAAGAGATTTTTTGAGGTGGCTTAATTTGTAGACACAAACGCGGTGTTTGAGTGTAGTGAAAGTGAAATAATTGAAAGTGAAGGAAGAAGCGTGTTCTGAAAAATATGGTTGGAATTCACGAGATGAGATGATAGCATAGCATGTTATGTCGTGCTGTGATTGTCCATTGTCAACATTTGTGGTTAAGTTAAAAGCTGGTCCTAAAAGCACAAATCGGAGATTTTTAATTTGGTGTTTGAAAATGATATTGTTAAGAAACAAAGTGATAAGTTTTTATAATCAATTTGTCTCAATAAGTGCCGCTTATATGGTTACACTTACACACTTTCGGGACGTGATTGAGTTTAATTTACGATCGTAACACGCGACAATGATTGAATCAAACATCAAAAACCACTTTGCAATTGATCATTGTGTTAATATGCTGGTTGAGCCACTTTACGATCATATATATATATATATATATATATATATATATATATATATATATATATATATATATATATATATATATATATATATATATATATATATATATATATATATATATATATATATATATATATATATATATATATATATATATATAACAAATTTTAAAAATGGGATAAATAAAAAATATCAACTTTAATACATTATATTTTTTAATTATGGCATCAAAGCGTTGACAATTTTTTTCTCGAAAAATCATTAAAAATATCTAGGGGAAGAAGCTATATTTGTATGGGAGTCTATTGCAAGTAGGGCTGGCAATGAACCAAACCAACTCGAAGATAGTTCGGAATTCGACTCGACAATTAAATCGTTGAACTAGGTTCATGAACCAAATGAGTTGAGTATGAGCGAAAAATTAAGTTCGTTAACTAAATGAGCTGAACTTGAACTATACATAGTTCGACTCGTTAGGTTCATGAGTCAACTCGATTACATATGAAAAGAATTATACTGTCTTTAAGATTAGGTTTAAATATTTACTTTAAATCTTAGACAAATTTAATCTTAAATTTAGTAGTTTTTGAATTAGACTCTCAAATGTATCTCTTTAAAGTTGTGTAGGTTTTGAATTAGTAGATTTCGAAGATAAAGTTAAATTTCAATATGATAACTTTTATTTTATTTTAATATTTTATTTAAAAAATATATATTTATTTAAAATGTCAAACATACTAAAAAATATATATATTTAAAAAAATAGTTTTTAAGTTCGTGAACCACGTGAGATGAACCTAATGAGATGAACCTAACGAGTCGAACCGAACTGTTCGTGAACTTATAACGAGTCGAGTTTGAGCTTAAAAAAAAGTCCGTGTCGAACTCGAACTCGAACTCGAATTCAAAAAATTCTTAACGAGTCGAGCCGAGCTGAGGTGAGTTCGACTCGACTCGACTCATTTCCAGCCCTAATTGCAAGCGAAAAATACTAATTTGTCATCAAACTTTATTTATTTCAAAGGAAAGAAAAATATCGATAAAATTTTTAAAAGGTGAAGAAAATGGTCGTCGCAACCAAATTAAGATTCGAGAGTTGATCATGCAAGGGGAATGTATTAACACCATTCACATCCGATATACTCAACAAGAACCGTTTTGATTGTTTTATGCTTGAATGAGTGTTATTATGTAAAGGTTACCTGCAATAGAAGAAACAAATTTTAATTTGTGTGCTCGTCAAGATCTCGCAATCCTGTGCCTACGTATCCTCATAGTGCAATAAGAAAATCAGAGCTTCATAGTTAATGGTAGAAAAATAAGTGTTTATTGGTTGTCTTTATTGAGCAGACGCGTTTTAGCAGTTAAACATTGTTTGTATGCTCGCGCATGAGAGACTTAAGCGTTTGTTTGTTTGTGGTAGAACGAAAGTAACATGTTATTTTTTTTGAAAGGTTTTGAATGCCCTAAGACAAAAAATTAAATTTGATTGATTGTGATTGATTTTAGAGTAGGAGGCAAGCATCAGACCAAAGCTAAGCACGACCGACATTCCAAGTACTTGGGAGCTGAAAGGACAATGGTATCCTAACCTCTTTTTTTCATCCAAAGAGTTTTTGTTTATGAAATTTGTAAGGCGAGTTTAATCGTTGATACTTAGAAGGAGACAAGCATCTAACCACAGGCTAAATACGGCTGATAGTCAGAATACTCGGAAGCTGGAAGAACAATTCATCCTGATCATTTTTTCGTCCTACGAAGACCGAATTAAACTCATTTGTTTTTAAGTGTTTTAAGTAGAAGATAAGCATCGGGCCACAAGCTAACCACAACCGACAACCCAAGTACTTGGGAAATGTTGTGCACAAATACTTACACCACATTCTTTTTCGTCCAGTTTATTGTAAAAATGTTTTGAAAATGAATTGACATTGGATAAAGTGTTTGAATGTTGAATAAAACAAAATGTGTGAATCAAATGGAAGAGATACTTGACATTGGATCAAGCATTCATGTTGCGTTCAATTGAATTTGATTTGAAAAACACTTGACTTTGGATAAAGTGTATTTTTTGTCTTTTGAAAAATGTTATTTTTATCGTTTTGATTTAATCTTGTTTATTAACATGCAAACGAAAGCAGTAAAGAAAAATAAATCATACGCTATTACATGTCCACGAGATGGGGGAGCATTTTACCTAACATGGGGGGATGAATCACTAAGTTATTACACTTTCATGGGGAATGAGAATATTTTATCTACAATGAGGGATGGAATCATAAATCATACAAGTGAAAAATTCTTACAAGCGTACACCACAAATAAGCATACACCAAATTGTAATATCCTAATTTTTATCCCTAAGATCTTACTTATCATTTTGCATCATCTGCATCACAAACAAGATCATGCTTGGTTGCCTCCTACCCTCTTTTGGGTTTGCTCCTGAAGAAGATCACTAAGGATCTGTGTGTTTATTATTTTCTTTATTTCTTGTTTATGTTTACTAACCCTTAATCAAAATAAAAAAAAGTTTGTTTTCCCTTTACTTATTTTTCTCAGGAAGAGGTTTGGATCAAGAACATCAAACACTAGTTCCCCAACTCGACTATAATTCATTTGAACAAGGTCAAAGTTTGTTCAATAATGATTTTGAAGTATTATCCAATCCCAGTTGATCAAGAGTTTCCCAAAGATTTGATTACTTATTGCCCAAAAAACTCTAAGGTTCATGTGTTTATTTCCGAGTCTTCTCTGATAAGTCAAAAAATTCGAGCCAGAGATGAGACAGCACAATAAAAAGCCATTTTCCTCATTTTTTTCCCACTTTTTTAATGGATCAACACCCTGAGGTTAACCGATTAACACGTACAATTTTTGGCCAGAAACAACATTTTCAAGTTCTGCAGCATTTTGGCATCAATTTTCAAATTTGACCTCATGTGGAATATTCTAGATCATGCAAAATCATCACAAAAATAATTCCCCTACCTAATCACAATTATTTCCATCAGACACCCTCATTTATCACACATGGGCACCACTTGTTCTTTGATGTGCACTCCAAAGCCAATTACCAAGCCTAATTTTGGCTCCAAACCAAATTCCAAGCCACCACTCACTCCAAGCCTAAATTCTATATAAACACCCACAATGTTATTAATTCTTCAAGCTTTTGATAGTCAAATTCACCTTGTCCAAATTCCTTCTCATTCTCTCAATTTTCTTCACCCACCCAAATTCACCAAAGTGCTTCTTCCATTAAAAGTTAGTAAGCTTTTCATTGATTCTTTCTTACTAATATTTGAGCTAAACCTCCATCAAAATACTTCATCAACATCAAATTTTGTATATCAAAGCTTTGAAGAGTGATTGTTGAATTTTACTTGAAGCAAATTCAAATTTGGATTGGTAAAAATCTCTAGGTCCGTCATTGTTATGCTTAATTCTCATCTTTTACAATGTGATCTCTTGTTACTTCTTGTTACTTGCTTCCTTGAACTACATTTGGGGTTCCATTGGTGTTAATTGCTCTTAATTTGATGGAATTTTTGTGCTCAATTTCATACATGATCACGAGGTTTTTGAAGAAATGATTGAATCATGGAAATGCATTTTTTCAAACTATTTTTTGCTGTCAAAGCAGTGTTAATCGATTAATCATATACTGTTAATCGAATAACGCAAGTCAGAATGCTGTTTTTTTGGCTTATTTTGGGACTATTTTGGTTCCTTTTCTTCCTTCGTCCATTTCCCTTTGTTTTACCTTGAATTATAATGTTTGTTGATTAGTTTTCTCTTCAAATTCTATGGACTTTAGGTGTTTGATAAAGTTGGATAAACCTTCATTAGTTCAAATCTATCTTTAAGTGAATCATTTTAGGTGCTTTGAATTAGTGGTAGGTTTAGTACTTTAATCCGCCAAGAATAGTGATGGAAATTGAAGATGGAATGATCCAAATATTGTGATTCAATTTGGTTTCCCTTCTCCCCTCTACTTTTTCTTTTTTTTTTCTTTTGGTCAATGAAAATCTATGTTATAGAACTTTTCTTCTAAGTTCTTAATCAAGATGAGACCACTACCTTTTTTCTTTTAGTGTTGCAAGTTTTAGGAGATTGACATATATGTCATTTCTCTAACTTATGTTAGCATACATAGTGTATTAATCGGCCTCCCATAATACGAAATTCTTCACAGGTCGTGCAACGATTGCTTAACATTGTGCTATATTTTGTCCCTAAATTGGAATTAAGTTGTTTTTGTAAGTGAGTTATTAATCTCATAATTCCCATAGTGCGGTGTGAAATAAATTGTTTTTTTTGTCATTAAGGGAGCTAGTTGGCATACTCGTCGATTTCGTCCGAGTTGGAGCGCTTCCCTTAATGGTGTATAAATTCATGTTTTCATGTTTATGGTTGAATAGTCAAGTATTCTCTGAA